ACCAGAGAGAGACAGAGAGAGGTAGTAATAGGAAAAGTAAGAAATCACTCCCCCAGGGGGATGGCCACAATACAATCCTTTCTTCATTTTCCTCTTAATATTCATCACTGAAGATATAAAACCATGATAATAGTCACCTAGACCTGAGCCTAAAACAAAAAATTACATATTTAAAAATCATTCTCTTGCTTGATCTGTGGAAAATGCCAAAAGAACTAGAGCAAGATTCTGTACCATATTTTTTTTTTTTTTTGAGAGGTTTTCACTATAGGGCGCGTGCGCTCGCCAGACAGACAGAAGAGACAGAGAGACAGAAAGCGAGAAATCACCCCTCAGGGGGGATGGTCATGCCACAATCCCTTCTCCTCCATTCTCCTCTCGGGATCTTGGGCACGCACGCACATGCGCCTGGCGTGAGTTTTAAGCCGCCGGATCCGGGACGCGAACGGTGGTCGACTACGTGGGAGTGCAGTGACATAGCCATTACGCTAACTGCTGGTTCCCTGTACCATATTTTTATTTATGAGAGATTTTTGCTATAGGCCACCTCTGTGGGGGGTTCTTAATTTCCCTCTTACTACCTCTCTCCCTTTCTTTGGAGAAAGTACACACCCTATTGCCAAAAAAAGATAAAACAAAAAAAAACATAGAGAGAAGATAATGAATACTGGAACTAAGTGTATATAGGTGGATGGTAGATTGGAATAAATACAATAGTATTTATTCAATAGTTGGGCTTGCTGGAGAAACAGAGAGAGAGAGAAATTGAGAAATCACTTCCCAGGGGGATAGCCACACCTCAATCCCTTCTCCTCCATTCTACTCTTGAAATTGGGCATGTACACACATGTGCCTAGCATGTTTCAGGCAGCCAGATCCAGGACTCAAACCATGGTCTGCCATGTGGGAGTCCAGTGGTGTAATCATTTCACCATTTGTGCATTACCTGAAGCTTTTTTTGCTATTATTTAGGAAAATTATGCATTCCTTATTGGTGGGTCAGATTCAGTTTGATATTTTAAGAAAGAGGTTATTTCTTTTGTTAACTTATTATTTGTATTTTTCCTTTTTGTTACATAATTGTAACAGTTAACATTTATGACTAGACACTACACTGAGTATTTTTCCTCTGTTAATTCATTGAATCTTTACATAGATCCTATGAAGTAGGCACTATTTTATCACCCTTACTTTCCAGATAAGGAGATTGAGTGTGTGCAACAAAACAATTTACTGAAGACCCCACCAGTAGAAAATGCTACTGCAGAGTTGGAGCCAAGGTAGTCTCACCACAAGGTGGAGTTTCTCCTCACTCCTCAATCAATAAACACATTCTTTTTTTCTTTTTCTTTTTCTTCTTTTTTTTTTTTTTTTAATTTCAAAGGGTGACCAGGGGGACAGAGAGAGTAGAGGGAGAGAGAGAAACCATCCCCCAATGAGGCATAGTGATTTCTTACCATTTCTCTATCAAGATTTTAGGCATACACACACATATGCAGGCCATGTTTTTCAAGCCAATAAGACTGGGATTCCAACCACCGTCAGTCTTGTGGAACCTAGCTCTCAATGTACACAGCTTTATCAATGTCCTATGGGACTGGCTCTATTCATTCTTTCTTCACTAGCTTTTTTGAAGTATTAAAAACAGTGCATTTATGAAAGAGTGCATACCCACGAGCAGGAGTGAGAGGGGGAAAGACGGGCACCCTTGACAGGTCTTTTCAGACCACAAATCCTTTCCCTGGCCCTCCAGCCATCAGGATCTTGGGCACCTGTGTAAATGGACAACGTGTTCCAGGCCAGCCAAGGATCTAAATCTGTGGTTGGCCATGTGGCTTCTAATACTGCAGTACAGCATGCTGCTGCCTGTATTGGCCCACTGAGGCTGGGCCAATAAACCCATTCTAGTTTCAAAAAGTCCAACTGTATCCAAAGTATGCCATGGTCTGTGTGCTGAAGAAAAACTTTATTGACTGAATTTATTAGTTAACCAAATGAAAGGGCTTAGGTAAGACGAGGTGTTCTAGGACCTGTTGACATTAAATCTAGAGGAATAGGGCATTCGGAATCCAGGTGACTTCAGAATTGAAAACAACACAACTGCTCTATTAGAATTCTTGTAGGCAACATCTAGAAAATCCTGCATTATTAATGAGGGGACTTCAGGATGTTTGTGAAAGAGTTTCAGTACCTAAAGAAATCAAAATCTGTTCATATTATACCATCAGATGCATTTCCATGAACATCTGGAAGACCTCTCACGTGTGGCACTTGATCTGGGAATTTGAGTTTCTGAGCTTGTTCTTTCCTTCACTACTTTGTTCATTGACTTTAGGAACAACCATATAATAGCATTATATTCCTCAGTTTTCCAAAAGCATTTGAAAGCAGATCATAAACGGAGTCATCTGCTCTTTGTTCCTTATAAGTGGCTGATTAAAAAAGTATCGAATGCAGACATTTTGCCAGACAGTGGCATAATGCTAAAATGTGATACTCTGCAAGGCAATCCACATGGACAAGTGGCTGGGTGTACACTTGCCCATAATCTACGGCTGACTAGGACTGGGGGTGTATCATGGCATCGGATCCCTGTTGAGAGTGCTCTCTCTTTCTCATTAAATAATTTTCTTTGCTTTTTCATTTGCTATAGGGTGTGTGCACTCAAGAGGGGTAGGGAGGAATGAGGACTCCCCTCTCCCCACTGCCCAGGGCAATAGCCACACCACAGCCCCTTCTCTAGTTTCCTCTTGGGATTTGGAGCACTCATGCGCATGTACTTCATGTGATTTTTCAAGCCACCAGGTCTGGGATTAAAACCACAAAGTCAGCCATGGGGCATCCAGCCACCTGTGCACCACCTGCTGGTGCCCCATAAATGTCTTTTTAAAAACCTCTTAAAGTAAATATTTTTGTGACTCTCTATAAACACTGTATTTTTTAATTTTTAAAAGGTTTCACATATTTATTACTGAACCAACCTACCAATGCAGCACTGAGAGACAAGGTGAAGCATCATTTTTTTCCCAATAAACACAAGTGTCCAGTCAATGGTGACCATTTTCAGCTTGATGTGGCAAGACCATAGTGACCTTGGTGCAGCATAAAATGTGGCCCACATCCTGTCCAGTTCCTCACAGACCCAGCTTGCTTCTTCTCCAGTGTCTCCTCTTGGAGTTGTACCTGATTTTATTACCAGTTTTCATTCTAATCCACTGGGGAATAGGACGATTTTGTTTCTGATTTTTGGCCAGAAACCACTTGATTCTGAAAGTCTTGTGAGGATGATTTTGCTTCTGTTTTTTGGCCAGAAACTGCTTGATTCTGAAAGTCTTGTGAGAAGACATGGCGAAGACCCAAGTGGACCGCTCACACCACGATGGCGGAGAAAGGAAGAGAGCTCTATAAACACTTTATGCCATGGGCTCTCAGAGCTTTGTTTTGCTTTTTCTTGCCAGAGGGTGCATACATTCACCAGAGAGAGAGAGAGAGAATTTATATATATAAACATATATATATATATACACACACACACATATGTATTTATGGCCTTTACTTTGTTGAAGTATTTCCTCTTTCCCCTAATTTATTGAGAGTCTTTATTATGGAATAATGTTGAATTTTGTCAAGTACTTTTCCTGTATATATTGAAATAATCACGTGATTTTTGTTGTTTTCTGTTACCATTGTATATTATATTCACTGATTTTTTTATGTTGAATCATTCTTATATCCAAATTTAAATATCACTTGTTCACAGTGTATAACCCTTTCTATGTACTTCGGATTTAGTTTGCTAGTATTCTGTTTTTTGCATCTATGTTAATCAGGGTTATTGGCCTGTAGTTTTCTTTTCTTGTGGTATCGTTGTCAGAGGCCAGCAGTAAAAAGTACAGAAGCTATTTTCCCAAATGAATTTCTCCAAAACTGAGACATTCTTAGCAATTTTTTGGAGAGGTTTTTGCTACAGGGCACACGCGCTTGCCAGAAAGAGAGAGACAGAAAGTGAGAAATGACTCCCCAGGGGAATGGCCACGCCTCAGTCCCTTCTTCTCTATTTTCCTCCCGGTATCTTGGGCATGCACACACATGCACCCAGCGTGAGTTTAAGCCAGCAGGTCCAGGACTCAAACTGTAGTTGACCACATGGGAGTCCAATGACATAGCCATTATGCCAACTGCTGGTACCTTTAGCAATGTTTTAAGGTACATATGTGATGAAGATGATGGTGATGGAAGGGGCCAAGGGAGAAGATAAGACTTGCTCAGATGTTACCCATGTGCAGCTGAAACACTCCTGGTAGCTGTCAGATGGACAGAGGAGGGCCAGTGGGATTCTTCCTATGTGCCTTTTCTCCCTTAACAAAAGTGTAGCTCTCCAGCTTCCTTTGCCCTCTCCACCACCCCCTCCAATTCTATCCTCCTGATATTAGAACCTTCTTCTAGCTCTGCACTAACACAAAGAGTAGAAATGACAGCCAAAAGCTCCAACCCAAGCTGTGGTGGCTTAGATAGTAGGATGGCACTGTGTGATACTGAACCTATTGAAAAACCTGGGTTCAAATCTTGAATTACCCTGAACACGAGCACACGCATGATTCCTGGCTGGCTAGAAGGCTGGAGGGAGGATCGCAGCATGGCATGATTCCATCAGGGCTATCTCGAGATAGAGAAATTTATAATAAGACGAAACAAAACAAAAAACTCAAAGCTCAGAAGCAATTGAGTTGGCTGAGGCTGAGGCTCTAGGAATTATTTCCAGAGACAGCTAAACACTCATCTGGAGGGAAGAGCAGATTTCCTGTGGGGCTGCTCATCTGTGTACTCTCCTTGGAGGGAGGGGCAGACATGTGACAGGGATGAACAGCTCCAGCCTTGGTGAGGAGTCAGGGCTGGAAGCCAGGCCTCGTGACCTGCCACAGCCTGTGTGGGCAGGACCAGTGAGGTTCACCAGGTACAAAGAGCCCTGGACTCCAGTGGCTCTGCAGGCTCCTGTGGTCGAGTCTAAACCGCTCATTGTTCACTAAAGCTGAAAGCAAAATTAATCATCATGAGGCTGTGGGTGTCTCTTCTACTGGTCACTCTGGCTCTTTGCTGCTACCAGGGTGAGTATTGTTTGTTATCAGGCCAATACTAGCCCTGATAAGGGTCCTTATCTGAACACCAAAGAAACCTATTTGCATGGTGTAGGGTCAGAACAGGCCAAAATTTAAGCTTTTTCCTGGGTTTATGAAGTACTTTCACTTCCACCCTACCCTCCCACTCCAAAAAAGCTCAGGGGTCTTTTCATTAATTTCCCAGTACTGACTCCTCAGGCTCCTGTGGTCGAGTCTAAACCGCTCATTGTTGCCTATATCTGAAATCAAAATTAACCACCATGAGGCTGTGGGTGTCTGTCCTACTGGTCACTCTGGTCCTTTGCTGCTACCAGGGTGAGTATCATTTGCCATCAGCCCAACACCAGCCCTGAAAAAGGCCCTTTTGGGAACACCAGAGAAAAATATTTGAATGGTGTTGGGTCAAAACAGTCCAAAATTTAAGCCTTTTCTTGTATTTATGAAATTTTCCCTTCCAGCCTACCATCTCACCCCAAAAAGCTCAAGAATCTTTTCATTAATTTCCCAGTACCTAGGAACTTTTGTGAAAAGAAAAATTATTACAGGCAAATTTGGGGAATTGGTGGTGGAACTTCACTTCTTGGCTGTGACCTGTGTTTTAGCAGAAGCAAGATGTGAACCTGGGATCTGTCATTTATCAGCCCTTTGACTTAGACAAAGTCCTTAACCTCGCCAAGCCTCCTCTTATCACTGGTGCTTACTGTTACCACCAAGAGTGGTTATGAGAGTGGAGCGAGATTTTGTATGTCACATTTGATCTCCAGGTATCAGCAAATGTCTAGTAATTAGAAATTCTCCTCCCCAGAGTCTCTGGTGTGAATTGAGCTCAAGGTTTTTTAAGTTCAGTCTCATAAAATGATATAACTAGAAGGGTCTTTGGAGAGATTTCAGGTCAGAATGAGCCTGTGCTCTTGGAATCTCTCAAGAAACAAGCACCTGGGCTCTGAGAATAAGCAGCGCTCAAGGTATCCACCAGTGCTCTCCATACCAGTTTTCTAGGAGTAGTTCTGGAAATCGTAGCAGAACTCCTAAAATTATTATCACTACGGTACCTGTTTTTCTAGAATTAATTCTACCCATTCTTTGATAATATTTTGCATGTTTCACGCCCATCCTCGGGACTGACCTGACCTCTGTGAGTCCTTTTAAATCGTACTTTCTGAACCTCCTCTCTCCCTGAATTGAGTGAAGCTCTCTCTCCAAATTCTCCTCATAGTTCGAAGTCAATTGATCAGGGGTCACATCATGACCTGGCAGGGCACTTCTGAGGTGCAGGTTGGTTGGGAAAGACTTGGGGGAGTGAGGAATCCAGACCAGAGAAAGTGATAGGAATCCAGGTCACACCAAAATTGGCAGCAACAGCAGGAAAGAGCCCTAGTTTCTGGCCCTAGTTCCTGCCTTTAAACCTTTCTAGGGATGCTGAACATTACTGCAAACTAAGAGCCAATCCCAATTTCCCACAGGTCCACAAAAGCTCCTAATTTTGATTAAAACTAATTTGCCTTTTTTCCTTACTTTTGAGCTCGATCTGCTTCTATGCATAGCCCCAGTTTCTCCAACTCAGATTCAAAATAGAATTCTTCAACATTTTTTTAACCATTTTATTTGCTCTTCTCCAGATTTACTCTTACTTTTCTGATCTCTGGTAAGATTCTGACACTACAATTCACATTGAAAGTAAAATACCGAAACCTTCTCTTCATCATCAGTATCTGTGTTGATCAAAATTTTACATTGTTATCAGTTATCTTTTAATAGTTAATTATTTAAAATCCAAGAAAAGCAAAATTCTGTAAATCAGAGTTTTAGAGAGTAGAGCTGTGAGCTTTTGCAAAAAGCAAAAACAGAATGAGTGCTCAAGAAAACAGTTTTCCAGACCTAGCTCTGCCCTTTGCTTTGTGATCTGGCAGAAGTCTTGACCTTGAGAGTCTTACATCGTCATTAGCACAAATATGCAATGGGAGCATAAACCCTTGGTGGTACTGACTAGTGGAGCATCAGGGAGCCATGGGGGAAATGACTTTTGTTACCTAAATTGTATTTTTATTTTTATGTTCCAGCCAGTGCAATAGTCTGTCCAGCCGTTGTTATTGATATAGAAAACTTCTTAACCATGCCTATGTGGCTTTTTGAGAAGACAATTAAAGTATTTAATGCACCAGCAGATGCTGTTCAGGCAAAGTTGCAAGTGAAGCAATGCACGGATCAGATGCCCAGAGAAGACATACGCAAAATTAAACACATATTGGTAATTTCTCTCTCCTTTATGCATAGAAGCTTCTGGTCAGCACACCAGCCAGGGGTGAGGTCATTTGGCTATTCCATGGGGGTCTCACGTAGGGCTCCTACCTTGCTGCTCATCTTTGATCGGGTGACTCAGACCACAGGGTAGAAGATACCAGGACACCTGCTAAATTGAACTCACCTGCTCACAGCTTCCTGGGCATGTTCCTCTCTGGTCACCCCCTCTGGATACGATGTTTCCCAGTATCCTTCGTAGAAGGATAGCTGGGACCCAGTGCAGGGAGGTTGGAAGACCAAGATCTGCTTCCTTTTGTTACCTAGAGCTTTGCTGAAGGTGAGGTCCACTCACTCAGTGGGCACAAGTCCTAAGGAATCTCACAGGAGTCTTGGGGCTAAGGAACAGGGAGACAGAGGGAGAAGACTGGAGCTGGCCTCTATCAGGTGCAGCCCTGTTGGCTAGGGGTGTCTGGCAGCTTCTACAGAGCCAGGAGCCCACTCCCAGCTCCTTTGCCCCATGTTTCTTTCCTGACTTACAACTCCATTACCATTGCCAAGCATAGAGCCCTGTGCTGCATTATATTCTACAGTCCATGGGGTCCTGGAATACCTATATCCTGTCTTCATCAGGAAACCAAATATTTAAAAGGGCCTCTTGGCTTGTCTCTTTCTGAGTTTAAGCCCTGAAATTTAGGTGCAGATTCCCAGAGAAGCTATAATTTCATTGTTAAAAAGGACCCGGCCCAGAGGCAGAATTCCCACCTGGGGTTTGGGAATTCTGAAAAGCTGTCTCACAGTCCCATCCCAGTCCTATCCCACATCTTTTAGTCCTGGATCTCCCATGGGGGTAATAGTGGATGACATTCATTGTCCTCGAACCTCATAGAATATAACTCCTGAATGCTCTGCCCTGCTTGTCCCCCTCTCCTTTCCACTAGAAACCTGAGCCACACTCCTGGGCCACTTAAGGGTTTGTTTTCCCGACTTTGGAAAGGCTTTTCCCTATCATTCACTGCATGTCTACGCTTAAGATTTCCCCTCCCCTCCACACACACTCACCAGATTTCTGCCTCTGCCCTCCCAGGGGCTGCTGTTGGCAGAATTTCCATTGATCTCTTGGGTCTGTTAACATGTCTCTCCAGGAGCACCATGACTGACACCAATTTTCTTTTATTTTTTATTACAGGTGCAAATGCTTCCTAAGTGTCTCTAATTGCAAGATATTATATTCTGTTTCCACTGTCCTCCAATGATACCTAATTTCCAATGCAAAATGTAAAGGTTTCAACGTCTTGCTTTAATAAATTACTTGCCCTGCACTTCTCCATGTGTCTTGTTTGCATCTAAGTCTCAGTGCTCGAGTTAAGGGCAGTTTTAATACTAAAGTGCATTTCGATATTGTCACAGTAACTTCCAGAGACTAAATAGCCTCTGTTACTGGTGGCCAAAGTGTCTGGGATCCCAAAAGTTATGTATTTAGGAAACCCCCAGACTCATTGGCTGGCTTATTGTGTGGTTCACACCTCACAGCAGCACTTGTGTGATGTTCTCATGGAATTGCAGTCTACCTGCTCGGTGCCCGGATCCCCACTATACTTTGACTACCTTGTCATGTCTGGGACACCTTATTTTCCATCTACTTCTGAACTCTTAGTGCATCACCAGGATTCATCCTTTGATTAAACCTTCCTTTTATCCCCACACTCAGAGGGTTCATCAGTGTCTACACCACCCCCCAACTTTAGTCTAATGCTTATCTCTCAGTCTCTTCTTCCAAATGCTCCAAAAATAAGCATTGAGCCACCAACTGAACATCTCCATCCAAGTACTCCACAGTCAGATCACAAGCAAAATGTATGAAGGAACACACTCCCTGGATCAACTCTACTCATCCGTTACACCAATCCGGCTGATGGGCTCATCTCCCACAGACACCTACTCAGGAAACATGAGGACATAATAGGCTTCTAGATTAGTGTCCTGTGGCTGCTAGAAGAAATGACCATAACCTGGTGTCTTACACAACTTGATCACTCACAGTTCTGGAGGTAGGGGGTCAAAACTGTGTCATTGTCTATAAATACATCTGCTAGCAGAGCTAACTCCCTCTAGAGGCTCTAGTGGAGAGTCAGAGACTGCTCTCAGCTTCCTGTGGCTAATAACGGTGCTCCTTTCGTGGCCACATCACTCCAACGACTGCTTCCATAATACATATTCTTCTCTTTCCATTCAAATCTCCCTGTGCCTTTTTCTTATAAAATATGCAGTTTTGGTTTAGGGACCATCAGTAGTTCAGAATATCTCTTAAATTCAAAATACTTACATCAGCAACTTTTTTTTTCTCTTTGTTACAACATGTAATATTATAAATTCTTTGCAGTCCCCATTTTCTCACCACCTAGTCCTATACATGCAACCATTCAGGGGAGGCAAGAGCTAGGAGACAAGAGTTCCCCAAATGGGCCAGCTGGTGGTGTGGTGATCAAGGTGGCTGGGTCCCACAGAGCCATTTGTGCACTTTGAGTCCTAAACCTGGAAGCTTTCAAAACATGCCATGTGGTTGGGTATGAGGGTCTTGAGGAAAAACAATCAATAGACATAAGAATGAAAGGTTATCTATTGAGGATGACATATATGGTATTGTCTTTGACTTGTTCGGCCTGCGCTGTATGCCAATTTTGAAAAACCATGTTGGGTGCTATCAAGATGTACTATGATTGGGACCAGCAGTTAGCGTAATGGCTATGTCACTGGACTCCCATGTAGTCGACCACAGTTCGAATCCCAGACCCAGTGGCTTAAACTCACACTGGGCATGTGTGTGTGTGTGCCCAAGATCCTGAGAGGAGAATGGAGGAGAAGGGATTGTGGCGTGGTCATCCTTCTGGGGGGAGAGTTCATGCTTTCTGTCTCTCTGTCTTCTCTGTCTCTCTGTGTCTTTCTGGCAAACGCACACGCCCTACAGCGAAAACCTCTCGGAAAAAAAAAAAAAAAGAGTTGTTATTAATAAAGATCATGGGATTTTTTTTTTCCACTCAACAAACATTTTTCAAGCACCA